CTTTTCCCAAGGTCTGCCTTCAGGCAGGGCAGGATGAGGTGGATACGGTCGATTCCGATTCCTGTTCCACGTGCCTCTTCCTCTTCCCCAGGTGTAGTTGGGTCCTCGGCCACCTTGCGAGGGACCATTGCCCCTTCCTCCCACGTAGTAGCTTCCTTCGCCATCACCCCTCTGGGTGTCTGGTCCTCTTCCTCCACGATCGCTGCCTCCTCTGCCACGACCTCTTCCTTGTCGCCCTCCCCCGCGGGCTGCAACGGCCGCGTAGTCCCCCTCTTGAACTACCAATCCGTTGTGCGCATCTCCCTCCAGACCATAGTCTATCTGGTCATAGGAAAGAGTTTCGACACCTCCTTCTTCAAAGGTCAGAAGGAGGTTGTCTTTCCCAGGAATACTTCATGAGATGGTACGATTTTGCCATTTCTTGCCGACCTATAGATCTTTCCAATAATGGCAGTAGTTTGCCTCCGCCAAACAAACCGACATGATCTAATGTGATCTTGCTGAACTTCTTATAGGTCATCCCCTCTTCTTTGGTACGGGGATATAATTGAGTACGAAGAGGATCGGGTAGTGCTCTAGCAAAGTTGTTAAGAATCTGCATCGGAGTGAGCCCATGCTCAGCGCATTGCAGAAGTTCGTCCATGGTAGATTTGAGTGTGATATTCAAGATTAACATCTCAGTTCTTCGGGCTAAGTTCTTATCTTCAAATCGTTCCCGGACGGCTTTAAAGAAATCTCCAATACGGGTTTGCTGAGAATATTCTACCATAGACTGACAAGATGCCTCTTTTTGTAGGGAAATTGCAAAACTTGTTGCATCTCCAGCCATACACGAACTGGCCATGTGAACCCTGTCCCAATACGGTATATGCTGCCCGTATACATAGGACTCAACCGCAGCAATCCAATACATAACACTTTCTTCCTTTTTCCCGGTTTATGTCCACGACTCTTTAAACTTTATTTTTCTTACTTCTCCTGCTTCTTCTGGCTGCGCACCCTTCTTCTTCCTATCTCCGTTTCCATTACCATTTCCATCTCCTCCATCTCCTCCGCCGCTACTTACCAATTTCTCAATCACGGCGGGGGTCAAAGTCTTGCTGATCTGCTCCTCTAGTTTCACATGTATGCTTGCACATGTTGATCAACTTCTGTTGCAGATCTCTACAGGAAGGTATTCCAGACTCCCTCGAATTCATACTGATGGGCTTCAACTTTCTGCAAAGTTTTGTTCATCACTGCCAACTCTTGCTTCGTATGGAGAGCAGTTTCTGTCAAGAGAGCAAGTTGTTCTTCAGTTGCTGTTTGCTTTTCTTTCTGCGCCTGTAATTCTCTTTGCAACCTTTCACCCTCTGCCTGCAGTTTTTTCCTCTCTTCCAGTTCTTGTCGCTTTGCTGCTAACATTTTGCTGTGCAATTCTGTTCGTTTTTCTTCCAGCAAGAGTTCCTTTTCCTTTTTATCTTCAATTGATGCCAATTTTGCGATAAACGTGTCCCGTTCTTCCTCCGATTCTTCAATCCTTTCGCTAGAATAGCTATATTGGTCATACCAATTTAAGGGCCTGACCTGTATATTCAACCCACCTGTATGGCTGCCTTCGCCTCTTTCAGCCCCGCGTCTGATAAGCCTTCCTTCTTCATCCTCTGGTTCTTCTTCTTCCTCTATAGTCTTCAGCCATCTTTTCTTTCAAATCTTTTTTGATTCTTTCTTCTTCTATCTGAGTTTTCTTCCTCAACTGTTCTTCTTTTTGTTTCCTTTTCTGTTCTTTTTCTGTTCTTTTTCTGTTCTTTTTCTTTCTTTTTCTTTCTTTTTCTCGGCCAGGCGGCGATCTATTTCTGCCTGCTCTGCCGCCGAGAGTCCGGGCTTCGTTGTTCCGGATCTCATCATCATGTGGGAGGTACACACTCTCCCAAAGCCGAGAGGAAAAAAGAAGCGGAATAATGGCCCCAAAAGAACAGACAGAGCCACCATCCTGTACATGGGGTGGTCATCCATGGTGGGGTACAGCACAGGGGAAACCTCCGCTGGACCACCAAGTAGCTACCCCAGAACCTTGTCTGCTTGAGTGGATGGGAGCTGGTTTTTTTTTTTTTTTTTTTTTTTTTTTTTTTTTTTTTTTTTTTTTTAAGTCTGGATGTCGTTACTTCAGAATAACGAAATTCAATAATCCCTACATATATACAACGCTTTCCTAATGAAATGAAAAATAGGAACTCGTTTTTTCTTTTCGTCCTTTTGTTTGTTTGCTTGCTGTCTGTTTAGTCACCTAGTGTGGCTTGTCACTTTTGTTAGAGTAGGTACCTGGGAGATATTCAACTTACTTCAAAAACAAATCCAATTTATCACGATTATCTCTGTTCTCAGCCACTTACACTCTGACGTGGCAGTACAAAGTTCCCAGCCTAAACCTGTCTTCCCTACCAATCGACAGACCTGATGGCTAACACGAAGACCAGATGTTGACTCTCTAGCCCTATCTATCAGACTGGACCAGGCCACAGGTTTCGTCTAGACAGCAGCAGCGACCACCAAAATGGAAAGGGGGAAAAGAGATACACAACACACAGATTTACAATCAACAAGGTAGGTGGGGCAGGAGGTGCTTCTATTCTTTGTAGCTGTTGATGAAGTCTCCATGTTCGCTTCAATCGCTCCAATTGCAGGTAAGTCTTATCCTCCTTAACCCCTTCTTCTTCCGCAGCCTTCCCCTTCTATCCCAATCCAACTCTTCTTCACTTCTCCTCTTACTTCACTTTTCGCCAGCAATATTCAAGCCAGCTTATCCCCTTCTCACCGGCCTTGATCATGCCAGCGCAGCCCAGCGAGTGCAACAAGTGCTGCTCCGACACCAAATTTGCAAGGAACCTGATGGTTCGTCACTTGCTGGAGTGTCTCGGATTACATGCATGCTACTCTGGTCACACAGATTGCAAAGACTCACACAAAGTACAATGGAGAATGAGCGGTAACCAGGTGGCACATCTCAATTAATACAACCAGATCAACCAGAGAGAATCACGAGTTCAAAGATATAGCGCCCAACAGAAATACATGTCTTCCTCATTCAATAAGTGCTCCAGGCCAGGCGCTCATCAGCGCTAGCCAACAATCACCAAGATCGGCGCTCAGCAGGTAAGTATCACCATAGCTCCCTTCTCTCTCTTCACCTTCTTGTCTTTCTTCTCTCCCTCTCTGTCTACAGTCCTGGTCTACTCACACTCATTATGCATCCACACTCCCTATCACATGAGGATCTACTCTGAATGCTACTCACTGGATTCTTCTACTAACTATCCCTCCTAATGTACTGACTGGCGCTGGTGCAGCTATGGCTGCCTTCCTTCCAGCCAGCGCCCTTCTTCTCTCTTTCACACTTAGCGCTGCTCACAGCCTAGCGCAGCTCACACATATCTAGCGCACAAGTGCCACGGCACTTCCACACTTCCATGCGAAATGAGCATCTGCCTAATGAGGAGGCTGGCCAGTCCTTTATAGTGCTGGACTGGTCTGGCGAGGTCTGAATTCGGCCTCCAAGTTTCTGGGACTCCTGCCCAGTACCTGTTGTTGCAAAGTGTGTGTCCCAGTATCTTTTCCGATGGTCTGCTGCTGCTTTGGGCCGTCGAGCCTGTCTTTTGGACTCCTGGTCTGAATCAGGACTGACCTGTGGGACTGTGACTGGACTGGGACTGTGGCCTTTGACTTATTGCCGAACAGACACGACTTATCGTCGAGCAGACATGACCCTTACTCAGTCTTGAAATCTGTGTCTAATACCTGTTCGTCCAGGACCTGCTCGTGACTGTTCAAAAAGACTTCTCAGTTTATTATGGATGCGGCATTTGCCTCAGGAACTTGTCTTCTGGAATGTTGCTCGTGAAATTGAGTTCAGGCCGAGAGGGCCCTTTCCATGTGGGGGTCACATTTACGGGCATGAATCGTAAAAGCCCTTTTAGACCTATGTCTTTTTTTCAAACAATCGACCACTGCTGTTTTCTTTTTACCTGACTACTGCCTTTGATATTACTGCCTTTTTCGACATTCCACCTCAACGGCAAGGTCAGTAGCTATACAACATCTGAATTCCTGTAACAACCATCCTTCTTCCCCCCTTTCACACTTGTCTTTTTCTCTACTAGTCCTTGCAAATATGTTTTTCACAACTGCTCATTTTACTGAACCTCAACTTCTTCCCACCGCTATCAATACATCTCTCTCCATCGACTATATATGCCTTTCCATTCTCCCTTTTCCTGAAGCAGGTGGAGCCGTGCTGGTGCATCTTGTACTTGCTTAAGCACCTGCGCTTAAGCCCCTCTGCGAACAGAAGTGTTCTATCATTCTATGCTTAAACCACCAGTACATGCCAGCCATCAGCCATGGGCCCCTTTTGGAGGCTGCTCACCGTCAATTTATTTTATCAATGGTGCGCGAGCCACCTAATTTTTAGGAGACGCTCAACTTGGCCGGGGCCATGTACTTGTGCGTTAACATGAAAGAGAGTATGGAAGGGAATAAAGTTCACTAGCTGAAGTGCCTCTGCAAACAGAGCGGTTTTGAATTAACTGTTAAAAAAATCAGGCCATTACAGATCTGGTGGCTGCTGGAACAAAAGAAGCGTATGACAGTTGGCAATACTCCTTTTTTTTTTCCTTCTTTCCCACTCCTCAGGTTTGCCCATGTGTGATTAGGGGATGAGCGTCTTCTATGTTAATTTTTCTGGATGATTGCCTGATCACCATTGTTTCCTACTATCACTGGTCTGCTGTGGGGCTTGTTCCCTGCCCTCACTGCATAGCATTGAGGCTTCTGCTGTGCCAGCATCTGATGTATTAACTGGCGGAGTCTGTGGGATGATGGTAAGCTTGGGGGACAAATACTCAGAGGTACTTGTGGGGGCTTCATGGCTCTAAGGCGGAGATCCAGTATGACATTGACCTCATCCATTTAGTTTGCAGATTGCTGATCTAGAATGCATGCATCCCTTGTGGTTCCTGTGTCAGGTGGGCAGGCATGTTTGTGCAGAGGTACAGAAGCATAAAAGTTGTTAACCAGCCTTGGGTGGTTGAGGGACTTGTGCTCCTATTTCTTGATGCAGATACGGTACGACTCTCTCAAGCTGAATCTATTTCTGCTTCCTTCATGGCTGATGGCGTACTGACAAAGAGTAAGCTCTCAATAAAGGGTTAGCGAATGCTGTTTTATAAATGAATCGTTTTTTTTTATTTTTTTTTATTTTTTTTTTTGGACTCTTTTTTTTTATTTTTCTTTTTGAGAATGCTGGAATAGTCTCATCATCATCAACGAAGAACCAATGTTGATATCCTATCTGGCGCTCGGCGCTCAGACTACAGATGGCAGATCCTATCTAGCCTACTCTACGATGCGGCTGATGACGTCAACAGCTCCCCGAAGTACGAGCAGATCTCGGCCAATGCCGTACGCTTCAAGCACCAGGTATGTCTCTCGTATCACTCACAACCTCGTTCCCCAACTCACAGATGTCACATGCACCCAAGAACCACCATGCACCCCATCCAGCATACAGCCTGGCTAGAAAATAGGTAGAGGGATCCTCCACATGCAGCCAAGAACCACCATGCGCCCCATCCAGCGTACAGCAGCGCAGCTCGGCTATGGCTGCCTGCTCCTTCCCGCTCGCCCGTGAGCGCATGAGCGCTGGCCAGCGTTAGCGCAGCAGTGCTTGTGCAGCATGCAGCCAGTGCCCGAATGCCAAATGCGTGGGCAGGCTCTTTCCTAAATAGAAGTGGCCTGCCTGCCATACATGCAGCCTGGCTGCGCTGGGCCCCTTCCCAGAAGCTTTCGGTAGGCCCACAGAGGCTGAGCCCCAGTCCAAACGAATCAGGCCCAGGGCCTGTGACAGTTACCCGTGCCCAACTGCCTACAGTCTGAGTTGGGTCCATGCTGTGTATCTCGCCCAGGGCCTGACTCAGATGCATTTGATAAAGGCGGCCAGGTCCTGGGCGCTTTCAACCAACTGGTGCTGCGCAACTGCCTGAATTTTCCCCAGTTGCGTGGTGACCCAAAATGGTCTGTAGGCCTCGATCGAGCCTGCCTTCACTTAGGGCGGGCGACTATGCTGAAGATAGGGCCCAGTAGCGTACGGGCGTATCGAGGCCTTGTGCCTCGCACCTCAGGGATATCCGTTAAAATTGGCGTGATACAGAGAAGATCGACCTGGCCCCTGCACGAGGATGACGCTCGTAAATTCAGAAATGGTCCAACCTTTTAACCACCTGGGCTAGCTCAGTTGGTACACCCTGAACCGTTGAAATACAGACCTTAGTTCAAACTCCAGTCAGGGGGAGGGGGGAGAGCAAAGAAAAAGAAAAAAGAAAGAAAAGGAAACAAAAGAAATGAGTCTTGCCAGAATGCAGAAGCTATTGATGTCCTAGACTTCCTGTAAGGTTTCCATTTTGTTTTTGTTTGTTTCTTTGTTCTGGAAAAATGCAGATGTCTTCTCCTCGTACGCGGGAAAGTTGCATTTTTTACCTATCCTATTTTCTTCTCTCTGTTAACCTCCCGCTAGCTACCCATATCTATGCCACACCCACAAGCCCTACAAAGCATAGAATGGATCACCCCTATTCGGGACGAAGCACAGAATGGATCACGGTCCGATCACCCGTATTCAGGACGAGGGTGGAGCGACGATCTAGGGCTAGGGTCCAAGAGTACCTTAAAAGGCTTAAATATACTAAACTAGAACTAGGCTATCCTAAGGTTATGGGTCTATGTCTACCTATCTCTGCTCTGTGGGGGGAGCAGTACCCAAGCTCCTAACACGTGGTGTGGGCTGTGCAGGCAACCAGTCACAATCTCCGTCGGTGAACCCGAAGCATCTCCCAGGAGGTCGTGGGGATCTAAAGGATGACGTTACGTTGGGTATGGAAACCCACGACCTCCTGAGTGCATCTTTCGTGCTCAACCCACTGAGCTCCCCCGCTTGGGCTGTTTGTTTGTTTGTTTGTTTGTTGTTTGTTTGTTTGTTTGTTTGTTTCATTTATTTCCCCTCACTTAATTACTAATCTAAGTCTCTAAGACTTAAAACTTGCTTTTTTTGTTTCTTTTTTTTTTCCCCAAAAAATGGGGAGCATCACCTGCTGGAAAACGGGTCCAGCGTCCCTGATACAGACAAGATTTGGGGTTTGTTAGGAAAAAGGAGTGGGATTCTCCTGCCAGCATTGATTACTCTGGAATCCAGAGGATTGACTGAGCAGGAGTTTTGGAAGAAGGAAAGCAGCCTCTTCGCCTTGAACCAAGCACCAGATGTCTGCTGCTAAAAACTAGCTCTTCTCCTTCTGCCCCTCCCCAACTGCAACCTCGAACATTCAAGGGACCAGCGTTCCCTGCTGGAAAACGGGTCCAGCGTCCCCTATACACAGTGAATCAAGAGGGGATTTAAGAAGGTGTCAACACTGATTTCTCTGTCCTCCAACGATTTTTACTGTGCGGGTTTCTTCAAACTGCACCAGACCGTCGGATCAGTCGTGCTTTCCTGGCAGCTCCCTGTGTGACTTGTCAACCCGCCGCTTCCTTCCTTGGGCTTGTCGGTCCTTAGTCCTGCGTGAGGCCTTTCTCATTCTGCACTGTACCATTGCATGTCGACCATCGCCAATCGGTGGGGTGGGAATGGATCTGGGAAGTCTGTAGGTGGTCGTGGCGGTATCTCTTGTCCCACCGTAGTCCAGTCCCTGAAGTTGATGGAGTAATCTCTTCTGAACTCATTTCGGTCGCATTCCTGGGCAGGCTTGCCATCCCATCGGACGACAGCGATCCAACCCCCGTTCTCATTGCCCAACCAGTCCCCGAAGAACTGCTGAATTGCTTGTGTTATGTCCTTTGGTGTATGCAACAGCTCTGGTTGGTTTTGCACTTTTTGCCACTGTACTCGGAGTTCTTGTTGGATATATTGCTTTATCATGTCTGATACCTCTTCCCCGGCTATGTGGACCCCCTCTATTGCGTGGGTGCAGCGTTTTCTCCAAAGGGCCCACATGACTGCTCTCCTTCCTAACTTGAACATATTATTTTTGAAGACATTGTCAGTGGGGGAGGACCAGGTTTCACATAGGATGGCTCTCCAGTCCCATGGCCAGTTGGAGCCGGTATCCAGTTTGGACCAGATTCTGTCCCACCACCGCCACGTGAGCACCGCCCCCGGACACTGCATGAATATGTGCTCTATAGTTTCCTGGAGTCTGCGGGAGGGGAAGGCGGTGTGGCATGATCTGCACCACGGTAGCGCCCGACCCTTCTGCTCTAGATATGTACGGTCTATCAGCCAATCGTTCGTGGGGAGGCAGCGATGTTCTATCTGCCATTGTAGTGAGGCCATCTTCGCTGGCCTGGACCTTGTGGCAGTGAACCATCGAATGGGGCGGATTGCCTTTGTTCCTACAGTCAAATGAGATCTCCATCGGGCCTTCACTGTTTCTTTAATATTCATTTTTGGGCGCAGCAGGCGATGGTAGGTAGCCTTCACCGTGAAGGTGTGTAATTTTAAGCTCTCCCCCATCGTGCGTGTTAGTGGGTGGGACCACTGCCATTCCTCGGGATCAAAGGGAAGTTCAGTTATAGGAATGTTTGGCTGGTATACGATCCATGCATCTTCGTCCGGCAGCTCCCAGATTTTGTGCAGATCTGAATTTCTGCACCTTCTCATCACGTCTGGAGTGTAGCGGGTGAGCACGTTGTCGTTGCCAATGTGGAAGAGATTGCTCAGGGTTTCTTCCGCCCGTACCTCTATCATGTTGCCTACACTCTCCAGATCTCCCGGGGCAGTTACCCTGTCCCCTTCTGTCAACCGCGCCCCTTTGCGCAAGATACGGACCCAATCTAAGGAGATAGCAAAAATCAAGGTTTCGATGTGCTCTTCGATTTTGTGGCAATACCTTAGTGTGGTCCTTAGTTGCTGCACAGATTTCCAGTCTCCCACTCGTGTGTCCCATATATATTTTATTCTAGTTATTCCTTTTCTGACCCAGCTATTCCGCGGGGCACTAGAGCTGCTATACACTCCGCTGTTCCGGTCCGTTATTTTCCTATTGCCGAAAAGGGGTTGGCGCGCCACCTCTTCCCACCTGGTTGGTGAGGGTTTGTGGTGGAGCGGCAGCTGGCGCCAGGCTTTCACAACCTGGACCCAGAAGTCGTCCCTGACCAAATCCGAGCGGGTTGTGTCTCGGCCTGGAGCTTGCCCGTTTCGACGGGACCGTGGCACTGTCCAGCAAAGGTCTTCCAGCCAGGTTAGCGGGTTAACTCCCTGCGGTGTCTGAGGAGCAATTCTAGCTATTTGTTCCAACGCAAGGGCCTGCCATGGGAGATATTTAGTGAAAAGTAATCTTTTGATCCATTGAATTGTCAAGGCTTTGATCTGGATTTTTGGATCTAGGATCCCCAACCCCCCTTTTTCTTTGGGTTGAATCACTGATTGCCAGGCTACCCTGCTTATGACATTTTGCAATTCTTCATTGCCTCTCCATAGCAGAGCTGTCACCTGCCATTTTAGTGATCGCACAACGTCCTTGTTGAGGGCCCAGATTGCAGATTTGTACCAGAGGGCCGCCAGTATTACACTATTGATCACTAATGCCCTTCCGATGAGGGCGGTCTGACGGTCCTTCCAGTGGGATAGTTTCTCCAGCGAAGGTTTCAGGATCCACTCGTCATTCGATGTAGGCTTACCCAGTGCCGTTAGGATAATTCCCAGCACTTTGACCGGGGCTGTTTCCGGTAGCCATTTGACTTGTGGGAGCTCGGAGGGGCGCGTCCCTTGGTGGTGGATCCACCATCCCAGGGTTTTGTTTCCCCAATTGACAGTCAAAGCTGAGACTGTTGTAAACCGGTTGAATAATTGCCTTATCTCTTCCATGTTTGCAGCGGTTGCATCGACCATGAGTGTCAGGTCGTCTGCAAACATCGAACAGATCGGGATTGCTTCTTCCGGTATGGCCGAGATCTGCAGTTTCCTGAGGTCTTTGTTGGGCCGGAGGTTTGCTTCCAGTGCCTCCATTACGATAATAAACAGGAAGGGTGCCAAAGGGTCTCCTTGGCGAACCGACCATTGCCGCGGAAAGGCCGGC